GTTAGAAATTGATCGTAGGACGTTCTGTTGTCCCTTTTGGAGAGCGGAAATTGAATCTCGACAGCAGTACGCACAGTTTTGACACGGGTACGTTAAGTTTTGAAAGTATTACATCATCACATTATCGCCTTTCCGTATTCGGAGGAATTATTTTCCCGGTCTGCTTCTTGGTTGTCCATAGACGTTCCTCACCCCGTACGTTAGAATATTGAAGAACGTACTTTGATTTTCACAAAGGGACGCCCTTTTGACTGCCGGACGCATAGATATCAGAAAAGAGCACAGCGTTTTGCGGATCGTACGTTAAGTTTTGAAAAATGTCCATTGAGATATGAAATAGGGCTTTAGCAATTGGAAAAAACTGTAAGACGAGATGAAGATTGATTCCCGGATTTGCTACGATGGCAAGACAGATGCAATGTATGGACCTCACTATCAGTTGATGATGGTATTGGCAAGAGGGATCTTTCAGAGCTGGAAGCAGCCAATTTCTTTTCATTTTGATGTAAAGATGATCAAAGACGTCTTCAATGACATTGTGATTGCTATCGAGACCGCAAATTTCCCCGCCGTTACAGTTGTCAGTGATCTAGGAGGACAAAGGCCCCCTCTATGTTATGGTTACGACATGTGTCCTACAAGAACATCATTCCCTTACGATCCGAGTCGTGAAATTTTCTGCATTGCTGATGTGCCTCATTTGTTGAAGCTCTTGCGGAATCACTCGACAAAGGGTTCTTTCTACCCTCCAGGTGATAATAGTGGGAAAAGAGATGCTTCAAGAACTCCTCTCCTTAGACAGTAATGGAGTGAAAATTTTCCGCAAAATCACAGCTTCTAATCTCACCGTATCTGGCACTGAAGGGCAGAGAGTGCGGCCAGCAGCAGAGGTCTTTTCTCATATAGTTCCAGAGGCCTTGAAGTTCTACTGTCCACAAAGGAGAGTCCAAGCTGATTTTATTGACCTGGTGGATTCCTACTTTGATGTTTTCATTTCAAGAACAACTGATGATGATGGGAAACCCATGCGCTGTGGATATGGCGTGAGGACTACAGAACAAAACACTACACTGGGTCGAATGTATGACCTTTGCAAAGACATGAGAGCAAATGGGAAGAAATCTCTTCTTCCATGTCAGAAGGGAATCCTTTTTTCTATTGCTTCTTGAAGAAGCTGACTTCCTATCTTTTCGAGAAGTATTCCCAGTGCTACATTCTGACATCATGCCTGAATCAAGATTGCCTAGAGAACGTTTTGAGCCAAATCGGAGCAGCAGACAAGTTTGATACATGCCCCAGACCCATATAAGCAAATTCAGAATAAGGTCCTTGTTTCTGAGCTCTGGCCAGAGTCTGCATCTATCAAGGCATTGTAATGTTCAAGGCGATGATGCAAGTCTCCTGATTGACATTCGCTCAGACGAGTTGTCTTCGCATGCAGTGGATGAACAGAAAGAGCTAGAAATAGCATTTAGATCGATATGACCCAACATTGAAGGATAAACCAATGGAGTTCTTTCAGAGGAATATCGAAAAGGAAACAGGAAGGAATAATGAAGGAATCACCAGTACGAAGTATATATTGAGAGCGCCATTTCCGTATTTAAAAAATTCAATCAAATTGTTTTCAAGGCACTCGACTGCATTATTTATGGATATTTCTAAATTTGTGGGTCTTATAAAGATGGGAAGAGGACTTGGTGGGTCTCGACATGAAAAAGATAGAGAACCATTGATGTAAAATGAGCTAACGGTGAACACTGAACGGCCAGAGAGCATTAGTCATATCGCGAAACTACAATCCCAGCGAGGACAGGCGTAGAGGGTGACGTTTATTCCTGATATTTGGTATCCGCAAGTACAGTACTGTATGTGAGATAGAAATCACAAAAGACATAGTGAAAAAAAAAAGATTTCTTAAGGAAAGATTACATTACTGCTGGATGGAAGCTTTCCGTGATGTGACCATCTTCAAGAATAATGAGATGTAAAGAACCTATAGGAGTGATAGACGAATATCCGCCATTAGGCCAACCGGACTTTACTTTTAAATGAAACACATTCGCTTTCGTAAATCCTATGACTGACCGACGCCCTGTTATCAAGGTCAAAAACGGATATGATTTAGTAAACATTATTATTGTGTTTTCGTTCGGTGCCCTCTGAAGCGGAGCATCATGGTGACTTCGCAGGGACTCCATCCCATGCCTGTTTATAAGCGAGAGGATTCGTGTGCACTTCTTCATTACCCTTCGTTTTTTACTCCATCTCATCGGTCATGAAGATCCCGATTGAGACAAAAAGAACGAGGTTGTGGCGATATGCGATTATTTTCTTCAAATTCCTTATCGTTCTCTTAGTCCTCGTCTCCATCACAGACATGGTCTTCTCTTATTTCGCCTTGTGTCACTCATCTTCGCTTAGTCTTCTGGTCGAGGTAAAATATTAAGTGTAATCTCGCATAAGTGACTTCCCTTGACTTGGTAGGCACTGAATCTCTTTCCTTCTATAAGCCCGTAGGGTTGGAGAGCCTCAAGGTTTTGTATCCTCGAATGGTGCTTGATGAGAGGCAAGACTACGGGGTGCTAGAGAATCTCGTACCTGCTGCGAATCTCGACGCAGAGAGCGAGGATGACATCACCTGCGTCACTCACTCTTCCATCGATCATCTGCACCGCGTCGTCCCACTCGTTCAGGCCTGGCAGGTTTGCATTCTCATTTGGTTGCTCCGTGAGTTCCTTAACATTGTGTTCCAGGAGTACAACAAATACATGTCAATATTACTCATTGACATGTGTCACCCAGATACATTTCTAAATGTTTGCACTCTGTCTCAGCTACGGCATATCGAATGGCAAATTGTAAATTGCATGAGATCCTCAAGCCTTCAACAGCTTTTAGATATCCAAATTGTGCATATAAGGCACTTTGTATAGTTTCCATCCCAGATAGAAAGTGATACGTAAGACGTTATGAAATTAGCATGCATGATGCAGAAAAAGTCACTGCGCGAAATTGATTAATATTGGGTACTTCTGTACATAATTCATCAGCAATGAATGTCGTTCAAGTTAACGTTTATGGAGAGAACGCATGTAAAATGATGCAAGAGACTCGGAAAAGATATTGTTTTTGAATTTGGAGAAAATAGCATGAATAGAATCAATTTGAACTTCCAATCTCATGCTGCTGCTTTTTCGGTTCATGTGGCTATAGTAAACTTATATGGAGATGATTTGGTAGGTATGCATCCCCAGATTATTGATCGCGAGAAGTACAAAAGCCTTCACGAATGTTTTTTTTTATTGCAATCAATTATTCATTGTCAACCGGAACACTTGAGTTTTCCCCCAAATTTCCATGGAAGTGTTGTTCTTTTTGTCAAGCTAAAAGTACGCAATCATTCATGCCTTGCATTGATGTTTACTGAATGACGTTATTTCGAATAGGACAGAAACATTCAAAGATACTTTGATACTCTCTCGTACATCCTATAGGGACCGGTTTCCCTGGCGGTGTTCGTGTCCACCCAAGTCAACATGAACATCACCTTGAAGGTGATAGCATGTCTCCGAGAGGAACACCCACAAGTATCCCAGAACGTCACCTTTCATCTCGTATTCCCCGTTCGACAAATGGCGGAGGAGTCGGATCTCCGGATCGATGACAAGTTATCCTGTCAGGTCCTCGTGGAGACAGTGTCCAGGGCGGAGGACAGGGCGAAGAACTTTAATCGCCCAGATGTGGAATATCCCCACAACCTGCTGAGAAACGTGGGTCGGAGAGCGACTAGAACGGAGTTCGTGTTCGTCATAGACGTAGATTTGATCCCCAGTCCCGGCATGAGAAGGAAATTCGTCCAATTTGCTCAAAGAGAACGGCTCTTCTCCCGGGATATGGCCAAACATAAGATCACCTACGTCGTGCCGGTCTTTGAGGCGGTGTCGGGGTTGCCGACCCCTCAAAACAAATCAGAATTACTAAGGCTATGGGATGCAGGGAAGATTCGACCATTTTACAGCAACACACGAGCCTATAGAGTGCAAGTACGACTTCTGAGACAGCGCTGACGCAGCATTTTTTAATTATTCTCAATTAAAGGTGGGGGTTTTCAGTTCTATACAGATTATCAGAGGTGGAGGAAATTAACAAAGAAGGAGGAGATCTCGGTGGGATATGAGATACCATGGAAACCCGCATACGAGCCCTACCTGATCACCAGAAACTCCGCCCCCTTCTTCGATGAAAGGTTTCGGCAATTTGGATGGGATCGCGCCAGTCATGTAAGATTTCCCCGTGTTTATTTCCTTTCTTGCTCATCATTGATAGCTAAATTGATAGCCAAAACTTTCTCTATTTTCTCCCAAGAAAAAATTTTAAACGAGCAAAGACAGCACAAGTCAGTTCGATAACCATGTGATCGACCTAAATGAAGCATGGGGATGAGATCTTTATCCCCTCCAAAAGGGCTGAATGGCAAAATTTCCATTTGAATGTGATCATGTTACCATTGCCCTAGGGAAAAACCCACGTTTGTCACGCTCAAATTCTTGCACGGACAGCCTCAGAAAGTAACATAACAAGGCAATGAGTGTGGTTTTTGGGATTGGTAACTTCACCGTCATCCTACTTTGTTATTTCACCTTCAAAAAGGTGTCTGTTACTTCGCGAGAGGGTCCTCGCGGCTGCGCAGACCCTCTCCACGTTAGCATACCCAGGGGTTATTTGAGCCTACTGTATAATTCATTCAACGTAAAATAAACGCTTCTAAAATCACACAAAATGGCAAATTGGCCTATCGTGTAGAATGGAGTCACATCCCCCACCACGGTAAGGTTATCACACACAGCATGGGAACGATGAAAGAAAAAAAGAGATACGGTGAATCCAGGACAAAAATGTCCCTATAGTATAGACGTATGATGACAGTTTATGAAGAGTTAACGATAATTTAAATTATTGCGTCATCTACTCATGACAACCTTCTAAAATTAAATTATTTATTGTCTTGAAGGTTGAAAGCCTTAAGGATTATGTTTCAAGGATATATTTATATCTACCTTCTATGTTAGGGCAGTACTAATGGTTCGAGAAGAAAACGAATATCGAAAGGGTTTACACTTTCGGAAATACAGTATGTTGAACATAGAACGTCGTAATCCTCAATTTATCCCATTAAAATCTGGCACAAAATCACTTGATGGATGTTAGTGTTCCACTGGAGTTAATTGAGATGCTCTATTTAATGTTTTTTCAAACTTTTTCACTAAGGAACTACGACTAGGATAGGGATGTCAAAATCCATGTCTCATGTCAGTCATCGCCTAGCTCGGCCGAAGCTACAACGCAACGAGGACAATGGAAGACTGCAGGTTATCCTCATCTGGATTACGACTGAACACAAAGGTGAAATCAATCATCGACTCAAAACGAAGGGAGAATATTGAAATAATAAAATAATAGGATAGATTAAGCTAGATCAACAGACGGAGGGGAGAAGAGGATGAGCGGTTGTGAGCGAAGTGGGGGAGGATGGATGGTTGGGGGGGGGGGGGGGGGGGACAAAGCCAAGGAATTTGGAGGACAACAAAAGGGACAATATAGGGTGGGGAAAATAAGAAGGGGATGAACCTTTAGTACTACTCTAAAAATGATGAAACGGTAGAATTAAACATCTCCCTGAATTATAGCCCCCAAAGCTTTCAACATACAAGACAATATAGAACTTAATTTTAGAAAGTAGTCAAGAGTAGATGACGCATTTATTAAAGTTATTGTTAATTCTTGAACTGTCATCTGACATTTTTACTGCAGGGACCATTTTGTCCTATTTCTCATTTGGGAGCAAAACGTCCGGGGCCATTTCGTCTTAGAACCATATTATCTGGGGCCAAAATGGCCGGGGCTCTTTTGTCCGGATACCATTTTTATGTCCCAGGTCCTATGCATGAGAAAGGAAGGCATTGTATGAAGAATTGCGGGGAAAAATTTGTGAGTAAAATCAGTAATTTATGTTTATGTACTTTTATACATATTGTAGCGTTTTATGTTGCCTTGCGTATATGATGGCATGCACCCTAAGCCTTCGGAGGCTGTGAAAATGATGTAATAAATTGAATTGAAATCGACTCGATGGTTGATTTCGGCTTTGTGTTCAGTCGTAATCCAGTTGAGATTGAATTACAGTCTTCCATTGTCTTCGTCGCGTTGTTGCTCCAAGCTAATGCAAACGAAAGACAGTAGAATAACATTCTTATCAGATTACGGAATAGGCGAACAATGCACGGGCCTAGGTGAACCTCGTTTAAGCCAAGCCTCTGGATATGATGCAAAACGAGATAAGGAGACGACAAGATTGCGGTTACCCGCTCCTTCGCAAGATTGGGGCAAGGGTGGTGCATGTTCTGCCTAGGGGCTCCTGAAACCTTCATCTGACCCTGTTTTTGTAGTTGAGCCGGAACACTCACCGGGAATTAGCCCGAGGGGGTCATCCCTTCGGCAGGGGTGAGCAAGACCGAGAGCAAATCGAGGTGAGGATGGTACCAGACTTTCAGTTGAAAAGACTAATGCATATCCCGACGGTGCTCACATGCACCCACCTGATGGTAGGGAGAGCCTGCACTTCCTTAAGAGTGTTATGCGGGCCTCTTTGGGAGGGAATGAACAGGTACAGGTGAAAATGCGCCTCCAATTGCATGCACACCTCTTTTTCAACCGTAGCACACCCTACACCCACCCTTAGTATTTGCTGTGTATTGCTGATCGAATCTCACTTTATCGAAGGCAGGCAGAAGCAGATCGAACGGTCTTTCCCCAGTCGAGTTTCATTGAGGCCAGAATATCAGGAAATCCTCTTGAAGAATCGTGGATTCAGGATTTACATAATTCCCAATTATGGAAAAATGGGTCTGTTCCAGCCATATATGTCGGCCTCAGACTTCATCTTGTCAGAATTTGTGGGATATTGGCAAGGGTCATGCGGGGCAAAAATCAGCAACATTTTCCCCCTAAAAAGTTAGATGCACTGGAAGTTGGTATATCGCGAGGTAGCAGATGACATACAGACTCGGAGGAGTCTAGGTGAGCCTTTGCGACATGTGGAATGAGACAAAGGAATCGTGCCCAGTGCATGGACGACTCGCAAGCTGCGCGAAGTGATCATGAACCGTCCGTTCATTGCCTAGATGTCGCTATAATACCACGGATGCTTTACTGTGTGAAACTGGTAACAATGAAGAATGAGCTAAGCGTTAGGTCCCCACCCAATTCAATGGAGTATTCCTTCTGGAACGTTGCAGAACTGGCATTTGAATACAATTATTCCGGTTGGGGGTCTGAGCCTGCCTTATGGAGGCCATAAATCGACTAAACGTGGTTGGACCAACACCAATCTAAAATGCATTTTGTGCTCGTAAGTCCAGGACGGTGGAGGAGGGGAGAACGATAACAAAGGACATAGGAAGTTTCAAGACACAAAAATGGATAATCCTGGGATTCTGACGTTGAACGGAACGATATGAATGAGGGAGAAGGAACGATACAACGGAACGGAACTTTCTGGTCATACCGGATTGTAACGGTTTATATCGTTATACTGAGGAGCCGACCAAGGATATACCAGCATAACAAAGCTGACACATGCGTTCTGAGTCATGACAGAGAAGGGTTTCTCTTTTCTTCGTTGTCGTCGTTCTCTATCAGTCTTAATCTTCAGTTTCTTCCTTCGCCTTAGGACATAGAGTCGGTTATCCCTGAAACTTTCACGAATTATGAGGTGTGGAAGGCATGTTTTGCGTCGTACCTCGCAGGTGTCACCTGAGCGTTATATGCGTATGTTTTCATAAGTAAATCACCAGCTTTGAAGCAATTAATGCCGCCATGCATCTTCGATTCGCCTCCACACCTTGGAGCCATAGTGTACTCGGAAGAGGACACAAGTACTCTTCCTCAAGAGTACTCAAAATGGCCTACTGCTCCCCTCTTCCGCACCCAACACGGAACTCTTGGAGTTGGAGCAAGACTTAATACATATTATCTTGCATAACGGTTATAAAAGGTGTGATGTGGGGAGTTTTGAATTCTACTCTTTCATATTCCCGTACACTCCTGTATTCCCATACTTCCACATTTAATAACTCCGAGTCATATATTGTGATACAAATATTATAATTCCATGCTTTTCTATATGTTTATAAATCACGCTATAAAAAGTGGAAGGATGGGAAGAAAACCTTATACTATTGAATATATCAGGAAAGCAGGCACTTAATTGTATTTGTAGGGTGCAGGGAACATGGATTCCATCTAGTGAGGACTCTTGGTACTGCAATGTAATTGCGGGAGAGTCAGCTAAAGTTTCATGCGGATGGCGTGATGTTGATTTTGCATAAATTTGCATAAAATGGGCAAAACGACTATTGTCTAAAGGGACGAGTTCGCTGAACTACCTGTTGGTAGATGGACGAGTAAGGGCTGCGAATAAATATTCGAATAAATATGAATAAATATAAGTTTTTTCCCACGACTTGCCTGCCACGTCTCGTTGTCGAAAAACGATTGCGACGAACTAACGGATACTTCGGATGTAGTCTCAATTTAACAACGACAAACTAGACCGTGGCCAACGCGAATTGATAGCATAGATTGACAATGCTTTCGGATGATCCCTCATGCGAAACAATTTACCGGCATTTTAGCATGATTTTCAGAAACGGTCTCGTTTCGAATTTAGATGACTGTAGGTGCAAAAATGACCTGTTTCATGAGGTACTATGGACACATTCCTCTGATATATTGGGTACATCAGGAACCAACCCAACAGGAGAAAACCAGTATCACGACTAAGCGATAGTCCCTGTGTAATAGAAAGCACTCACACATCCTCAGAATAATGTTATTCCTATGCCTTTTTTATTATCCTTTTTAACCTCAATTTTCCTGAAAGTGTTCATATCTTTTATTTAGGATCCAATATTTTAAATATTTATACCGACCTTCTTCTGGTACTCATTTGCTTTTGCCTCATTCAAACTTAGTGTGGATCATCAGTTTTTAAGTCTGAGTTTATACTCAGATTTTTCTTTTGTTTTGAGATTTTTGCGATCAGAAAAGGACACTCTTTCGAGTTGCTGAAGTATTTGTATTTGTATTTGAAGTATTTGTAAGTATTTCGTCTTATTCCAGCATGAAACCAAAAATATGTACACATTCTTTTGACCAGCTCTTTCCCAGTTAAAACTCTCTTTCTTAGACAAAACAGATTTAGTATCAATACATATCAGCATCGAATGCCTTGTTTCTTTTTTCTTTCTTCTCTCGAACAGATCTGCGAATTACACGCAGCCGAATATGACTTTTGGGTTCTGGACAACGCCTACATCACCCACGACGGATTCAAAGAGAACCATTTTCCCCGTGTCGGCAGAATCAACGCTGATGCGAAACGAACTGCCTTCCTGCATCGATCCTTCCGTTTCAAGCTCTCCCGCAAGTACATTCACTCGTCGAGAAAGTGCGAATCCTGGTTTATACACTTAGCAGAATTCGTTGAAATTGTTTCCGGTGCAATTTTTTTATGATGTCTCTCTATGTCACGATGCTCATCTTTTTTTCGTGCGCGCTCTTTTTGAATATATTTGGACTGAAATTTATAAATTTGAACAGGACATCATTATTGCATTGTGTTCATGAAAATTAATTAATTTTTATTATAGCATGGCAGATATTGAGAGCGCTTATTCAAAAATTTTCGTCGGTTCATCGTCGGGCCATGGCTGGGGAAGTTGACAGTTCCCTACGGTTTCTCACGTAGGTTTCAGAGGGAGAAGAAAGTGACATGAGAATGAAATCAACGCGTAATGACGAAAAGTGGCCTTTTTGTTGTTTGTGCTGCACCATTTTGGAATAAAACAATGAAATTAGCTGACGTTCAATTAGGTTTAGAGTGCTCCCTCCGGTATCGTTCCCAAGTGTTGCCAGATACCCTGCCGAAATTACTCCAGATTCAAGACCACTTCAACCTTCATATTTGCGTCTGGATCTTCTTTTTTTGTGTATGAGACATTTTCATGGTGAGTTCATGAAACAAGCAGAGAATGAAGCAATGGTTAGCAGTGATTGATAGATGTGGTGAGATAAGGAAATACCTCATCCGGACATCCCTAAGGATGACGCACATCATGGTTATCACGCTTCCTTGAGGCATTCCGTCCCCAGACCCATTCGAGATGGTTCGAGGAACTCCAGATAGGCCTAACGTTCCACGTCCCACTGAAATAGTTAATGAAAAGCTAGCAATCATCAAATCAGTCCAACGTTACACGTCCACTCTGAAATGGTTCGAGAAATTATGAATAGCCCTGCTATTGGCCTAACGTTGCAAGTCCTGAACGAGATGTCTCAAAGTCCACGGATTCACTCTTATAGGCCTACTTGGCCCCTTAAGTCGAGAATTGAGTTTCTTTTGAAGAAATAAAGGTAGGCCTTGGCGTGACCTGAAGGCAATATGTTGGTTAGGCCTAAGCCTTAAGTGAGCGAGTTCCGTAGAGAAGGGGTAGGGCGGTTGAAGAAAGGGAAAGCCATGAAAATTGGTTCCCACACTACGTCATACAGTATTGTTCTATCTGTGAAACGGATGGGAAAATTTTCTCTACACATATCGATTTAGAGCGTTTATTCCCAATCCACTTACGAACGCTTAGATACATGCTATTTCCATGCACACTTCCGTCAACAAAACGAGAACATGAATAGCTATCAGCTGCATTTAGGGAATGATTTATTTCCTCATGTGCAAATGTATGTAGCCTTAGGGAGATTTTGAAAAGGGGACTTCCTTAGAGTCCTTCTGTCCGAATATAAATATAAATACAACGATAAAACTCCCCATAGTCTGCAAAGAATTATTGCGTTTAAATGCTGAAATAATGAGCTTATGTGTCTGCCACTATACGTTTTTGGAGATTTATGTGCAAACAACAAAAAAATACCAAGAACAAGAACTCACGATCACGATAAGGACCTTCGCCGAAGCTCTGAGCGAGTAACGACTCATGAAAATAGTCGTGAGTCCCGCGTGAATCATGCGTGAAGTGGTACTCACGCACACCTCCTTTTTTGAATAGTCACCTGAAGAAAAGAACATTTGTCTTCCTTTGGGAGGTTGGAAAAAAAAACAGATGAATGAATTTTTTCAAAACAGATTTGAGTACACGCATCATTTTCACCATCGAAACGCCGTATCTGAGGGATTTCGGAAATGATACAAGCAAGGGAAGCAAGTATATGGATCGAATCTTGCGCCCTTTCTGAGGCGTGCGGTAAGGTATAGTCCGTGCGCGCACGGGCTCAAATAAGACTAATCAGACCATTTCGTGGATGACTTGGTTGTGAGCACTTCACCCGGGAAAGCATTCAGTAAAATGTTATTCTTATCGCGGAAATTAGGCCCCATGACGTCAAAATGGTAGAACTTTTCGAACTCTTCACCCAATAGTTATCGCCACGGGGTTTCCAATGACACCTATAGTTTCAAACCAAGACACACCGAACGAATTTATGCCTATGGATGGGAGATGGTCAGGCATCGATTTCCCACAACCCATCCCTAAGGAATAGGTTTTTTTTTCGGCGTATAGGGAAATTTTCATGAGTTTCAGATTTCCCAATATATTTGTCTTGCACGGTTTCCCATGCCAAAGGCACGCTTCGCCACCCTGTCTGCTTGCACAGAATGCCCTTCAGTCTGCCTGGAGTAATCCAACTTAGAGGCCTAAGCGGACTGCGGGTCAGCACAACACGATCCGCGGCTCAGAGCAGCAAAGCTCGGTCGACGATCGCTTTCCGGGTCGGATGCGGGCCGCGATTCCAATCGGGCCGATCAGGTTTCAACTCGAAAAAGTCAACCCGTGCAGACCTCAGACGCGCAGAAAGACGGGAGAACCATATAGAGTGTATATAAATGTCTCTGGAGAGGCCTTCGCTGCCTGGAGACTTACAAGTGCTTTCGCCATCCTGGTGAAGTCTCGCACGTGGGAATGAATAGCGTGGGTCCCGGCGTGGAGGCCCCCAGACATATAGCTCAGGGAAAGTTGCCTCTTTTGCCCTACCCCTCTCCATGTGTCTGCTATGAACTCCTTGTTCGTGCGACTTCAGTAAGATGGCGGCCGCGTCTGGAAGGGTGTAGCGCCTTGCGCCAAAGTGGAGGCCACTCCATTACACTCTCTCTATGAGGAGAATCCCTAGAAACCACATTCAGTGCGTACTTTTTGGACTTTTGACCCAATAAGTATCGCCTCCAGGTCAGCTTTCGATTGACACCTCAGTTACTAAAATCCGTTCATCCGTTTGGGAGGAGTTTCCCGGAATGACACACTGACAGATTAGCCTCTTATGTGGATGGATGGATGGGAAGGTGGCGCCCGTCGTTGTATACTTCGCGAGGATCCCGTTGTAAATATTTTTTAAAAGAAAAGTCTGTACCGGTCGCCACATTTGGCCGGTGAGCCGATGGTCAATTTTTTTTTTCTCATAGCCACCAGCCGGCAAGCTGGTGCCAATTGTGGCCTGTAGGAGATATTGTCTATAGATTCAAAAAGGCACAATTGGAAGCTATGTGATACTCATTAGTAGGCCTCCTGGAAACGATAGAGATCACTTTTGGTTCGGTCCAGCCAGTCTGTCTCTCTCTGAGGCTGTCAGTGGTTAGCTTGCTACCCATATCTGCAGTTGAGAGCATTTAGTGGCACATCACTTGAAAAAGCATCACGTAAATGGAGATGCCATGACTTTTCTTTATTGCTGCTTCCCTCCGCCGCTTCCTTTAATTCAGCTGTGACATAATCCGATCGATATTTTAGTCTGGGAGAGGCTGGCAGGAGTGGCTTTCAGTGAGAGAGTTGGGCCGGCGCCTAGCCGCTTTCACACTGAAAGGCTGGCCGCACACTGGTGAAGGTAAGGTAAGGTAAGGTAAAGGTTAAGGACCACTGACCTAACTTAATTTTTTTTTTCGCTTCACCCGTTCTTTGGGCACGGGCATCGGCCCACTCGCCGAAGGCCATTGGTGCCGATAGTGTAAAACTGGCGGCCGATACCGGTGTTAACCGATACATCGGTACAGTCCTGGTTTAAAGTATAACTGAACCCAGAACTTCTCATGATTTAAGAAACTTCCCGACGAGTGATCCAAAACAGTAATCACTATCCATTTTACAAATAACTTCTTGTTAATCGGGCTACACCTCTCCCCCTTGCACTGTAGGAGTTAGACTTAAGGGAGACGTGTGCGAGTGAGTAGGGGAGATATAGGGTGCAGAGTTGGTGGGGATGGGTGAAGTAATTGAGGCGTGAAGCAGCTTAAGCTACTGATGAGGACTGGGATGATGGGATGCATAGGAAAGGAAAGGAGTGGGGTTTGGGAAGGAGAGACTTGTCGTTCGGGAAGGGTCCAAGAGGACACCAACTAACAGGGCCCAAGGTCGCTGGAGCTACTGACTAGAGGGCTCAGACTTTTTTCTCATTTGTAGCCTAGGCTCCATAAATACATTGAATATTAATTTTAATCCGAGCCGGATGCTTAAACTTTAATTTTACATACTTCTCGTATTTACAAACACGGGGCTCTCCAGAGACATCTAGCATCTAACGCAGAACTCTTGTGTCAGGGAGCAATGTGGCGCATCCTCGAAAACCCACTGCTCGACTCGTCCCATAAAGTAGTCGCCCTAGCAGTTCACTTGCCAGATGGTCAACCCGTAATTTTTGAGAAAGGACGGGAGGAGGCATTGCTAGAAACACAACACTGACTGCATGGTTTTCTCTGAACACACAAAACGAACGAGCCTGCGCAATCAATATGGAGTCAACGTTGATAAGCAAATGTTGAAGCAAAGTTGCAATGTTGTTTTTGAACATTGAATCAATGTTGATAGACCGTTGATGTCAACGTTGAATCAATTGTTGATAAAAATGAACTTTCAATGTAGAATCAATGTTGACAGGCAACGTTAGCTGCGTTGACGAAATGACGTTGAATCAACGTTGATTCAACGTGAGTGTGCTACTTGGGTCACTTCCCATTGACCGCTTCCAATTCGTGGAAGGAGCGCGTTCAGGATGGCGATAAGGCAATAGGACGTATTGTGTCCTTATCTCCAAGAAATGTGGAGTTATACCATCGTCTGCTGCTACTGCGTGTGCCAGGCGCGCAATCGTTCCAACATTTGCATACAGTGAATGGAGTAGTGTTACCAACATTTCGCGATGTGGCGCGCGAGTTGGGACTCATTGAGGATGGGGAATGGAACCGATGTATGGCTGAATGAACACACAAGAATAAATTATGAAATATAAATGACTAACTGACTGTAAGAAATAACTATTTAGACTGCTGGCCATCTGCACATGTTGAAGCACGTTTTAGTGTCGTGTCCAGCAAGGTGTGGCGCGAATTCCGTCTTCGCAGCGATTCTCGATCAAGGCAACCCATGATGAGTTTGAAGCAGGATTCGTAACGTAAGCAGGACTCGTAACGTTAAAAAAAAATATATTCCTGATTCATCTGAGATTTCACATATATCAACAGAAACACGAACACGATGACGAATAGAAACGTTAAAAAAAAATCAGCTAGAACCATCTTTGGGACCATATTCTTTTTCCGGGATAGAATGAAATCTTTCCCGACCACTTCACCGGCTACGATGACAAAAATATGTGGTCCAACTTTGCCTTTGAGTTGAGTGCTTAAAGGCGCTCTTGTCGACTCTGTTCGATTCGCTGGCGATTTGAGTATGTTCATAATGAATATGCCTTCGGTAATATAACCAGCCAGATTCAACTGATCGTTTAAAGTTCCAAATGTCGAGGACAGTGCGTCGCAACTGGTGTGCCGCGACAAAGGTGGAGATAAAGATGGTTGAGATCTAGGGTGAAGAGAATCTCAAGGAGGCTGCTCCATGTGCTTAAGAGTTTTCTCTCGTTTTCCTCAGTTTTTAGGGTAGACATGTTGGGGGAGCAATATGGTATGTAAAAAGCGAACTCGTCAATGTCATCGATTCCATCTAGATGAGTGATGAATGGAGTCTCAATCGGGTTCTAATCGTGCGTGGGAAGTGACTGCCTCATATGGAAAAAATTGAGAGAGGTATTACTCCCTTGTGTCTCATGTCTCCCGTGTCCCCTGCGTCGAGTCTCTCTCAGCCGGGCCAAGGGAGACTTGACGACGAGGTTCCACGAGGAAAATCGGTCCTGTGCAAAGAAAGAAGCTTTCTTTGGTCATGGAAGGTCGTGGCATATCTCCAGTCACGAGGGGAAGGGCACAAAGACGTCCTTTCTGCCTCGGTAATCACTGTGACCAGCAAAAAAAAGTTTATATGCCTGTATTCTATAAATATTACATTCTTACTCTGGGAATCTCAATAGTTCGCTCTGTTGCAACCACCTGTCTGATGAAGATTAGCGAAGGAAAGAAAAAAGGAAACCAAGATAGGTTTTACCATAAGGGGGGAGGCGGATAGGGCTCGAGCCGAGCGAGATTTAAGTCTTTTGGACGAGTGGAGCAAGAAATGGCTCATGAGGTTTAATAAAAGTAAGTGTAAAGTTCTCCACGTCGGTCGAAACAACGGTAGGTCTCTCGACACGTTCGGCGATGTTAAATTGGATGAGGCAAACGGAGAGAGAGATTTAGG